TCCTTCATACAAATGATAAACAGGCTGAGAAAGAAATTAGAAAAACAGTGCCCTTCACAATTATCACAAATATTAATATATAGTATAAAATATCTTGGTGTGACTCTTGCCAAGCAAGTGAAAGATCTATATGGCAAGAACTTCAAATCCCTGAAAAAAGAAATCAAAGAAGATATCAGAAAATGGAAGGATCTCTCATGCTCAAGGATTGCTAAGATTAACATAGCAAAAATAGGTATCCTACCAAAAGCAATCTACAGATTCAATGCCATATCCATCAAGATTCCAACACAGTTCTTCACAGACATGGAAAGAACAATTCTCAATTTCATATGGTAAAAGAAAAAACCCAGAATGGCAAAAACAATACTTAACAATAAAAGAACTTCTGGGGGAATCACCACCGCCTGATCTCAATCTGTACTGCTGAGCAATAGTGATTAAAACCACATGATATTGGTACAGAGACAGACAAAGTGATCAATGGGATAGAACTGAAGACCCAGAAATAAGCCCACACACTTATGGACATACAATGGAACAAAGAAAACATCTTCAATAAATGGTGCGGGTCTAACTGGTGGTCTGTATGTAGCAAAATGAAAATAGATCCATATTTATCACCTTGCACAAAGCTCAAGTCCAAAGTGGATCAAGGATCTCAACATAAAACTAGATACACTGAATCAATAGAAGAGAAATTGGGAAAGAGTCCTGAACTCATTAAATTTCCTAAACAGAACTTCAGTGGCTCAGACTTCAAGATCAACAATTGATAAATGGGACTTCATGAAACTGAAAAGCTTCTTAAGGCAAAAGACACAGTCAATAGGATAAATCGACAGTCCACATAATAGGAAAAAAAAATCTTCACTAACCCCACATCTGATAGAGGGCTAATATCCAAAATATATGAAGAACTCAAGAAGCTAACCTCCAAAAAAACAAATAACCCAATTAAAAATGGGGTACAGAGCTAAACAGAGAATTCACAACAGAGGAATTTCAAATGGCCAAGAAACATTTAAAGAAATGCTCAAAGTCCTTGTGATCAGGGAAATGCAAATCTGAGATTCCACCTTACACCAATCAGAATGGCTAAGATCAAAAACTTAAGTGACAGCAGATGCTGGTGAGGATGTGGAGAAAGAGGGACACTCCTCCATTCCTGGTGGGGTTGCAAACTTGTACAACCACTGTGAAAATCAACCTAGCAGTTCCTCAGAAAACTGAACATAGTACTACTACCTGAGGACCCAGCTATATTATTCTCGGGCATATACCCAGAATACTCCAATACACCACAAGATATAGTGCTCCATGATGTTCATAGTAGCCTTATTTGTGATAGTCCGAAGCTGGAAACCACCCAGATGTCCCACAGAATGGATACAGAAAATGTGGTACATTTACACAATCGAGTACTTACTCTTCAGCTATTAAAAACAAAGACATCATGAATTTTGCAGGCAAAGAATGGAACCAGAAAATATCATCCTGAGTAAGGTTACCCAGACCCCAAAGGACATCCATGGCATGTAATCAATAATAAGTGGATATTAGCCAAAAAGTACCAAATACCTAGGATACAACACACAGAATTTAAGAAGTTTGACAAGCAGGAAGGCCAAGTGAGGATGTTTCAATCTCACTTAGAAGGGAAAAAAATAATTATGGGAGGCAAACAGAGGGTGATTTGGGCTAGAGAGGGGAGGGAAAGGGGAAAGGGGGGGACAGGATCTGGTAAGGAATGGGGCAGGAGAGAAGCTCAGAGGGCAAGCAGAAAGGATGGAAATACGAAGCCTCGGAAAGTGGGAGTTAGGGAGACCGTCTAGAAAGTAGTAGAGACCTGGGAGGTTAGAGGCTCTTAGGACTTAATGGGAGTGACCTTAGATGAAATGCCCAACAGTGGGGAGAGAAAAAGAGTCCACCTCCAGGAGACAGACACAGCCTCAAAAGGAGGGACAGGGTTATCATCCCACAGTCAAAATTTCTGTCTCAGAAATGTTCCTGTCTTAAAGAACTGCAGGGACAAAAATGGAGAAGAGACTGAGGGAAAGGTGGTCCAGTGACCAGCCCAACTGGGGATCCATGAGGAGACACCAAGGCCTGACATTATTACTAATGCTATGTTGTGCTTACAGACAAGAGCCTAGCATGGCTGTCCTCTGAGAGGCCCAACCAGCAGCTGACTGAGACAGATGCAGATACTTATAACCAACCACTGGACTGAAGTCAGGGACCCCTATGGTTGAATTAGGGAAAGGATTGAAGAAGCAGAAGAGGAGGGCAACCTTATAGGAAGACTAACTCAACTAACATGGCTCCCTGGGAGCTCCCAGACACTGAGCCACCAACCAGGCAGCATACACAAGCTGGTCCAAGGCACTCCACACATACATAGCAGAGCTGCCTGGTCTGGCCTCAGTGGGAGAAGATGTGTCAAATCCTCAAGAGACTTGAAGCCCCAGGGAGGAGGAGGCCTGGTGGGAGCAGGGAGAATTCTCTCGGGAACAGGGAGGAGGAGAAATAGGATGAGGAACTGTGGGACAGGAGCCCAGAATGGGGGGCAATGGGTGGATTGTAAATAAATTTTTAAAAAATCTTTAAAAGAAAAGAAAATAAGTCCTGAATTAAAGAACATGCAATGCAGAACACTGTGGGTGCTTCTCATTAAATGGCCCAAGCATTTCCTCCTACAGAAGATGGAAGGCTTATCGTTCAGTTGTGCAAAAGCTCAATACAGAATTGTATTTGCACATAGATGATATCCCATGACCCCAGTACACATGCACTATTTCAAACTAACATTTATTCTGTTTCTATGTTCATCACCATTGGTTATCTTTTAGTTTAGTTAAAGTATATAAGGAATAGAAATAAAATGGAACATCAAAAATCCAATACAGCTCTTTACATATTAATTTGAACATAATGAAAGCCACTAAGCCACTTGCACTGTTAAGGGAAAATGCTGAAGAGAAGTATATGATTTTGTTTGCAAGAAGAATAACTCCCTAAGTAAAAAAAACCACAACCAGCCCCATTAGGGTTCCAGGCATTCTAATGAGAATATGAATAGTCAACGATATAAAAGAAAAACGCTTTAAAAATACCAAAAATCAAATCATAGAGGAAACCCAGTACACCTGTGTGCCAGGTTGAGCCTACAATCAGTGGGTCTTACTCTTTGCTATGCGCATCGCATCTTTTCAGATGATTAGGTATAAAACAACTACTGGCATGTGGAATTAATTCTTTCCTTAATATTATGATTTACCAAAACTCGAGTCCCAGCATGGAACAGAAGGAATCACAATGCCTTCGTCATCTGCCCTCCAGAATTTATTACTTCATTTACATCTAATTTTCCCAGCCTGCTAAGTAACTGAAGAATTAGTTGACACTAATTTTTGAAACGAATCTAGTAAAATGGTTTCTACTTGTATTCTTACTAAAGGTATTGTTTCCAGCGTTTACAGATGCCAGCCGATAATACCATGTTCTACCAATGCGACAGACACAACTCCAACTGAAAAAAAACTGTTTAGAATCTTCTACTACTCTCCTCTCAGAGAAAAGTTTGCTTGCTGTGATGGCTATTCTTGGTTGTCAATTTGACTATATCTGGAATTAACTAAAGCCTAAAAATGGAGAACACACCTGTGAGAGATTTTTCCTTAATTCAAAGTAGGAAGATCCACTTTTAATCCAGACTCTTGAGGTATGGATCTTGACCTGGGAAGACGCACCTTTAACCTGGGTCTTGAAGTAGGGATATAAGCAAGACAACCTTTAACTCAGTTTGTTTGAGTTGAGAAAACCCACCTCTAATCAGGGCCACACCTTCTGCTGGAAACCTATATAAGGACATGGGAGAAGGAAGCTTTGCCCTTTGCCTGTTTTAGAGCCTACTTCCTCGGGATTGCAGTGTATAATGAAAACCTGCTGAGACACCAAGTATCATGGACTGCACAGCTATTGGACTCTTGGACTCTGTTCATAGCCAGCTTCTGTTGGATTAGCCTGGCATCACCTTGTAAATCATTCTAGTAAATTCCTATTCTCTCTCTCTCCTCTCTCTCTCTCTCTCTCTCTCTCTCTCTCTCTCTCTCTCTCTCTCTCTCCTCTTACATTCACTATATGTGTGTGTGTGTGTTTGTGTATATATATATATCATATATATGTACATACATGTATAGGATATATATGTCTATATATTCTATTAAGTTGTGTTACAATGTGAGTGTGTGAGTGTGTGTGTGTGTGTGTGTGTGTGTGTTACTCTGACTAATCATTTGCCCTTCATGTTTGTTGACCTTAGGGTATATGTAAGAAAGGGGAGCTAGGGATTCTTTAAGAGACAACCTGTACTTACTAAAAGAGCAATTTTCTAAGGACCTTGTGAGTGAACTGACTGACAGTTGTAGCAAATGTGACAGGATTCTGTGAACCATTACTTATAACAAGTAGTGTTTCTTTTAACTTACCAATTAATGGAAGCTAAGAAAGAAGAACCTAATATTATTAAATAGAGGACATTGCAGACATAGTATATAATCATACTCAAATGCTGATAGAACTCTCCCAAGTTTCTGAGATCCTGGGACTCACGTTACACTCTTCCTTATTAGGAGTAGTTAGAATCTTTAGGAAACACTCAAATATCCACATCAAGGCCATATGTGTCTTTTGAATCCAACACTTAGGGATAACCTATTTGTAATTGTTTAAAACTCTCCTGAAGTCATTTTAATAGACAGTCTAATTGAAAAGCAAACAAGCATCCCCTTCAGCTTTGTTACTCACCCATACAGCTCAGTTTCCTTGTCATCTGAGGGTATGGCCAGATGAAGAAATGAGGTACATTTGCTTCCTAAGAATGCTAACTTCCCCAGCTAGGGGCAGAACAGGAGCCAGAAAATACCAAATGCAAGTTGATTCTATCAAATAAAATTCTGGAGCAAAACTGAAGAGTTGAAATGAGTTTCAGCTCTTACCTAAGGGCTTGCTTCTGCCAGACAATACACCAGGATGCTCCGACCCTCCCGCACACCTCCACACACTCACACCTCTACTTCTTCGGAGCCTTCATGGACTCATCTTGGGCATGTTTGTGGCTCAGTTGTGATGATTATCAGCCTCAGTTCCCTTTCATACACAGAATCTAGAATGTTTGAACATTCGGTTAGCATTGCAGCTGGGCAAGGCCCTTGGATAGCATCCTTTGTAAACTGGCCTTCACATGGGGACCCTGACCTTCCTGTTTTCCTTTTCCTCCTCATTTTCCTCCCCTTCCTCTCCTTCCTCTTTTTGCTATAGCCTTGCTTCTAAATATGAGTCACTTTGATAATTTTCAACAGCAACACGATTTCCATTTATTGTAAAATATAAATACTTTTATTTTCTTTACAATGGAGCCTGTTTTCCGGTCTCATTTTGCTTCCCTATGTTAAAAATCCTTGTTGAAAAAAAGATTTTGAAAAATATGAGCTTTGTTTTGAACAAATTCAGAGTTTTCTCAAATATTTCCTAGGAGTGCATGGAAAAGGAGAGGGCTATATCTTCTTCCACTTCTTTAAACCATCAAAATATACAGAGAAACTTTGACAAGTTATCTCAAAAAATTTTTTTTCAGAATGCTTGAGCTTCTAACGGGTCAAACGTCTTCTAAGGGGTCAAATGTCCCTACTATGTCACTGTTAATACAAATACTCTTTGGGCATTTTGGAAGTAAAGTTATGTCATCTGTATCTTGTTCTTCTCTCTGTGTTTGCAAGGTGTAAGCAGACCATACCACCACTGAGGTGGTCCAACATACACAGCACAGTGGGCCCCAGTGATATGGTGCCTGCCACCATGTTTGGATCCTCACTGTTTCGGGAAAAATTGACACATACTCCTCCAGTGGGATCAGGAGGACTGGAGCCCAAGGCTAACTCCTGACACAGATGAACTAACAGAGCCTAGCATTTCCTTATTGATATAGATGATAGCCTGTAAAGGGAAGACTTGTTGTTCACTTGAGACAAACATATTGTGAGTGTTGTGAGGGTTGGCCTTCACTTATCTATGTGTTTTCTGCTACATAGGAAGGATTGATACATTTCTCATTTTGTATTATTAAAAATTTCATATGGAACTTACTCTTTTGTAAAAATATAAGGGTAACTTTTCTAGGAATTCTTTTTTTTCCTACTTAATTGAAAATTTCCTCTGCCTTGAGTTACCAATTTGTAAATGTATTTGGGTGCTTCTGTATTTTCTAGTCTGTTCCATGTATTTGTCTGTCTATGAAGAAGCAATTAACTTGTGTATAGAAATGGCATATTCTAGAACCATCAGAAGCAAGTGTGTGCTCAATCAAGTGTATTGTATATAACTTTTCATCAAAGAACTAAAAGGAGGCTACTGTAAAATCTGTCAGCATAGAAAAGGTTTGAGTTAAGGAAATAAAACTCCTCAGTGGAGAACGAGAGTGAAAGTTAAGAGAAGGCAGAGATTGTCAGTGTACACAGTCCGAGCCCAGCCTTGGCTCCATCTCTCCCCACAACCAATGCCTGAGGGCAGCACCTGCTGGTGGTTTGAACCCTCAGGGCTCTCCTGTGAAAATTCAACCAAAACACAGGAATGGAGAACAAGTCCTAGTTGCAATCACCAGTTTCCTGAAGCTTTGAGAGATATTGGTGACAAGGTGGTGGGAGCTTGGTAGATGGAAAAGGAGACATGAATTCTTTACCATTGGATGTTACAGAATTTGAGGCCGCTCCGGGTCTTGTCAGCAAATCTTGATGAAGAGAGTTGATGGATCCAGTACTCTGTGAGTAACCCTTCAGGAGCAAACAGACTAACTGGTTAAAAGGCCTGTGAGAAAAATAGAAACAGCCTAAGCAGCAAAAGGGTACCCTTGAGTAACATACTGTGAAATAAAGAGAAAAACCTAACACTCACAGCCTCCTGCTGCTTCACAGCGCACACTGCCTCCCAGAAGTACCTCAGTAAAGAACACCAGGACACACTCAGTGAGGTGGCTCTGTGATTAAGGTATTCCCACCAAGCTCACAGAGATCTACATCGTAGGAGAGAATTGAACCCAATAAGTTGTCCTCTGACAACACAGGTGCTCTGGTGCAAGTACACACACAAGAAATAAATTAAAATGTGGTTTTAAGTTATTTTAAATGTACAATTCTGCTGTAAATAGCCCCTGCTGGTGGCTACAATAGTAGAAGGGAGAAATTAAAGTACTATATCAGGGAAAGGAGAGAGCTCTCACCAGCTGAAAGCCAGCACAATCAGCAACATTGTCTTTGAAAGTTTCCTACATGGGAACAATGTTGTTCTTATATAGAGATATTTTTAAGTTAATAATGTTAAAATAGCAATAAACGATACAAAGGCCCAAGTGTGTGTGACATTTTTTCCTTTATCTGATTTTTTAAAGAATCTCATAAGACTTCTGCTTACAATAAAAACACCATTTGCCATGAACTCAGCAATCTAGGATAATATTTTCCTGCATTCTTTTATATTTATTCATTATCTCTTTAAGGGCCTCTCTTTGATTGTATTTTGCTGGATCTCTTCAAGACATTTATTCATTTCCTCTTTAAAGGTCTTTATCATCTTCATAAGATTAGATTAAGGTCATTTTCTTGCAACTAAAGTGTGTTTGGATATACACCTTACTGTGTGAAACTACTGCTTTGAGAGACCTCACACCAGCATAGGAACCTGAGAACGCTCCAGGCAAGATGACCTCTTCCTTGCCGCAGAGTAACCTACTCCCCTTTCTGCCAACCTTATTCTCTGAAGAACTCCCAACATTCCAGCTCACTGGACTCCTGAAACCTGTGTTCTCATCCTCCTCCATCTCCATCCCATTCTGATGTCACTCCAGGTGACGTCATGCCATCTCTGCTCCTAAGAGCAACACTCTGCCAGATACAACTTCCACCTCCATCGTGGAATCACTCTGTGGAGTCACCTCTGAGCATCTGTTAAGAAGGTAGCTGATCAAAGCTTGTCAGTCCCAAGCCTGGTAACAGGAACCAGAGAGGACACACAGCCGATGACAGTTCCATAAAGAACTGGCCTTGGAGCCGGGCAGTGGTGGCGCATGCCTTTAATCCCAGTACTTGGGAGGCAGAGGCAGGCGGATTTCTGAGTTCGAGGCCAGCCTGGTCTACACAGTGAGTTCCAGGACAGCCAGAGCTACACAGAGAAACCCTGTCTAGAAAAACCAAGGCAGCAAGAGGGAATGGGAAAGGGCCATGGGAAGGAGGAGGCCTATTGGTATGACTGCTCCTCCTTCTGGCTATAACACCATCATCAGTCAGACAAGGGCTGGTCCCTGGCTTCTTGTAAAGGTTCAGGATGAGCAGGCATCAGAGTGTATGGAGTTGGAACCTGGCTAGCTGGAAAAAAAGACACTAAAGCATAAAATCTTTCCTATGTATTCTACTCTTGACAAGTTAATAAGAGAAAGGAGGCAGGCAGCAAGAGGGAATGGGCCAGGATGAATCCACTTGTAGGAAGCCACAGTAAGGCTGTCAAGCTGTCCTGAACTCTCCACCTTGGACAATGATATGGGAGAGAAACAAACTCTTTAGCTCTGAAGCACATCTCCATCTTCTTGTAGCATGATACATCTGTGCACTGCCTGGAATCCACAGCAGAATGTGATCCTGTTCTCCTTCTGGCAGTCTGGACCAGATCTACCCTGTGTTCCAAGTATCTCTACCCTTGAGTCTTAGTTCAGTGGGTCACTACTATTCTGGTTGCAAGATATAGATACTTGATACTTGAGTAAATCTGTGAAACCAACACAGACCACATAAGAATCCTCATGAGTTCCATCCCTGTTTCACCCCAGTACAATTACTTTGTGCCTAAAACAAAGGAACCTGTGTATACTGGCTGAGAGGCACTTCTACTTCTTGTCCTCCCAGGGAAATGCTTTCCAGCCCAACTTCCATCAAGCTGCAAAGCCTGTAGCTGCTCCAGCCACCCAATGCTCTGTCCTCCTTTCCTTTCTTCTACCCTACTCACTTCTGTATGCTTCACATTCAATGTCACTGTAGACCTGAGTGCATTCAGAAAATTCTGGAGCTTGGTGAAGTGCACCTGGGTTCTGGGGTGGAGTTTTTGAGGAAGGTTCACTGATGAGGGAATGCCCACACTGGAGGTGCAAAGCACTATCCCATTGGTCTGGACAGAATCACAGAAGAAAGTCAGCTAAGTTCCCTGATTCTCTTCTGTTTCCTGACTCTGTGGTGTGTGATCTGCTCAACAGCTCCTAGTCCTCTCCCTCCCTGCTCTCCAGCCTCCACACACTACTGAAATTAAACCAGAAACCTCTGTCATAGACACCTGGTCAATTGGAACTCAAAGCACACGACATTGGCCATGAGGACCATAGCAAATGGTGAGTGGCCTCAACTTTCTCTTTTCCTGCACCTCTTTCAGGCCTCTGCCAAACAAATGACCTTTTGCCTCTTTCTGTCTAAGATAATCTGTGTCCCTGTAGCCTCTCACCAAACCAGTGTAGTCTGCCTGGATATTCTGCTGTGGCCTGTCAACACATGCTGAATGAACATCATAACCACAATTTAGGGGATGAAACAAACGCTAAAAATTTATTAAAACCAATACTTAAAAACATGAAACATTGAAAAAAAATCACAGGAGTAAAAAGGCTATTTCTCAGGGGAACTTCAGAGCTGGTACAAGTCAGGAAGAGCTGCTACATTGAAGTCAGGAAATTAATTCGGATGGGACATCAGACTGGTGCTGTCTGACCACATAGACCACCGTTAGTGATAGGGGGTGACAGGGTCATTCTCTAAGGAGATAGACCCACTGTACCAAGGGCTAGATGTGTGAAAGACCACTGTATGTGCTGCCATGATGAGACAGAGGTTGCACAGCTGCTACCAGGTGCACTGGCTGGACTGCTGATATCACAACTGATTCCAATAGCAGAACATTCTGGTGGATTTGGGGCTCCCTGTCACTGGTGCCCAATCAGGTTCCAGCCACAGTTTCAGTGATGGAACCCACTCATCAATCTCTGAATCTCCAGATATGTGGCTCCCAAGATCTAAGGATGAAGACAAATCTGCAGCCAGTGCAGGCTTGTGCAGAAGGGGAAGTGGTGTTCGGGGTGCAAGAGTCAAGGTCCCTAAGATGAGACCTTCTGTCAGCCTTTCTAATAACAGAGGAGATCATGTCTGCTGGGAATCTCGACAGTGTCTTACAAAACATCATGTGCCCAGCCCAGGGTCAAGTGACACCTGCAAACAGGAGCCTCTGAAGACATCCCCAGCACATCAGGTACTGAACCTCACTCACAAGGTTACAAACTCATACCTGAGTCGTCTTCATCCTCTATCTCTGATTCATTGGACTCTTGCTGCAATTCCATGAGAAGATTATGAACCTGCAGATTCAAATCTGAGTAAGACATGTTCACAATCAAGTAGGCCTTCAGTTTTCTCAGAATGGACAGGTCTGAGGTCTGACAAAACTCCTCAGGATATTTGTCTATCCATGTGTCCAGGAAATAACAGAGGATACTGGGAAGAAGGGATGGACAACACAGTCAGTGGCCAGGCCTTTCCTTCTTCAACCTTCACATGGCTTCTGTCTACATGGAGGAGTAAAAGAAAGAGATCCAGACCTATGCAGAGAAGTACTGTGAGCAGGGCTGTGAGGTCCTAGTGAGCAGGGAGCCTCACACATCTCACTGCCAGCATCTAGTGGAGAACAGCTGAGCAAGCCTCCTGGCATGGCCTGGTGTATGGACAGAGACTCACAGCAGCACTTAGGCCCCAGACTCCCCCATCTCAACCCCCTGCAACAACCATGCCCATGCAATTCTCATCCTGCAGGTACTGCTTGGACAATAGTTTATGGTACTAGAATCCAGGAGAAGAATGAGAGCAAAGCATTGGCTGTTCCTTACCTTAAGAACACAAATGACCCCACACTGGAGACCCAAATCCATCCTCTTGTCATTACCTTAAGAACACAAATGAGCCCACACTGGAGACCCAAATCCATCCTCTTGTCATAAAGCCCACTTACCTCTTTACTAGTTCATCCTCTATGCAATCCGAGTGGAAGTCTGCATACCTAAAGAGGGCAGAACAGATGTCACCTGTAAAATCGCAGGCCCCCACCTAAAAGACATCTAGGGAGCAGGTGGCTACCCGGACAAGAGTCAAAATACAGAACCTGGAAGTTCTGTCTGCTCTCAGGATTGTTAGTTCACTGCATAGAGTAGGGGCATCAAAGATGTTTGTGCAATGGGTGAGCACGAACATCTCTATTCAGACATCTCTGTGATCACAGGTCTTTCAGAAGGCCCTCCATAGGTCTCTACTCACCACCCATCTATATTGGGTACTTCAATAGGAACTCTGGAATGTTCTCTACAAATGGGAGAAGTGCTTCCATCTAGGCCTTAGAAATGTTGGGCAAAAGAAAGAACATTTCTTTAAGATTCAGAGGAGAGCTACATTCATTAGGGTCTCAATTTGGATAGCACTTCCCTTGGGCCAAGCCTGAGAGAAGCACTCTTAACTCCATACTTCTGGGTACAAGAAGTAGAGACAGTGTTTTCAGGAACCAAGAAGAGAATCTCAGACCTATGGCCTTGGAAGTGGCACTCACCATTTCAACAGGAGATCCAGCACATGCTGTGTGGTAGTGAAACTTCGGTATACATCCAGAAAGGCCGGGGCAAAGAAGGGGTCTCCACCCCACAGGAACGGTACCAGGTGGTTTACCAGCTTAACCACCATGTCTGAAGTGATGCAGACCTCTCTAGAGGGCTCCTTTATATCCTTTGGGGAACACTATGTTCTCCCTGAGGAGACAACACCATAGATGGTTCAAAAAAACACAAGTCTGCAACATTCTCAGTGGTTATTTTCACTACAATTCTCCCTCAGTCATTACAGTGTCAAACACACAGAGCAAAACTAGGGGAAAGTCTGAGAGTTCTGAGAGGGTACCTTGCCTGCTTGGTTCTGACCATGGCTGTACTGAGTCAATCTGTTTCCTTCTGGGCAAATGGCCAGAGGCAGTGGAGGCAAGAAAATATCATGAATTTCCAGGTCCCTCCATGGTCATCACTCTTGTCTTTCTTGAGACCTGAGCCTCGAGTAGTCCAAAGACCACAAGAGAACATCCTGCTCTCTCTAAGTTCTTGGACAAATGAGCCTCCCGGGCTCACTCTAAACAGTTGGCTGTCTGGTTATCAGGGTTCTGCATTGTGGGTCACTTTCTGAGGATGTCTCCTTACTGTCTCCCTTCACACATGGTTTTCCCTAAATGCTCCTAGGTACCCTCATACTTCCCATGTACACAAGTAGACACAGATACATGGGTGTGTTCCATTCCACTGCTCCAAGGGATGTCTGGATACAGGCAACACCTGCTGCATATAGGCAGCACCTCAGCTTTGTACTCTGAGTCCCTACAATGACATCTCTATCCCTACTCCTAAAGTCAGCCCTGCTCACCAAGGCCCAGCTTAAACCCTAGCCATAGTGCTTGTGCCACCTCCCAGCCCCACAGTGTCAGAGTTCTTGCATGGCAATTGTCTTTCTCATGACCAGTTACCAGCTTTGTGACCATTTTAGAATTCAAGGCCAGAGTTGTAGCTCTCTTTAAACTTCTGGCTCAACCACATCAACCAGCTTAAAAGGTGAAAGCTAACCCCCAACTGTATCAGAACTGATTAGGCCAGGGTCGAGTGACTGCTCCTGCAAACAGGAGCCTCTCAAGCCTCTCCCAGCACACCAGGTACTGAACCTCACACACAGGGCTCAAACACCTACCTGACTCTCTTCCTTGCTCTCTGAGTCACTGGCTTCTTAGTCGTTCAGCTGGATCAGGAGCATATGGACACAGACTGCCAGATCTGAGCGGGGCATGTTCAGAAGCAAGTACACCATCAGCTGGTTCAGAATGGGTAAATCTGAGGACTGGCAAAAATCCTCAGGAATCTTGTCCAGCCATATCTACAGGAAGCTGTGGGACAGCGAAAGGTAGCATCGACCTGGGTTGAGCCAAAGCTTGAGGACCCTGATGGACAGTAGGAGCTTTGTCTGTTCTGGGGAACCAGGTCCCTAACTGTCGGAGGCCCCCATAGACTTGTGGCCATCAGTCACATAATGGCAACACCTCAAGGACTCCACATGTAGAGGACATGACCTTTGATGTAGGCTCAAGACAGATGTTTATTTTAATAAGGTACCTAAAGGCCTACAGGAACTATGAAGTAAGGTTTCCTTCTCAGGCTTTCTTCCCTGCAATAGTATTTAATCTCAGGCCCACCCTGAACAAGTGGGTACGGTTTTACACATCTGCTTTGCACCATGATAATAAATGCCTTAATACCATGGACTGTTTCTTTTCTTGGGGGTACGCTGTGGGGAGCAGCCATGGAGAAGGCCTTCACCTATAGAACCTCCATCTAATCTCCCATAGAAGGCCTCTCTGCACTCCCAGCCATGACCACCACCAAGCTCAAGCCTGCAGCCCATCTAGGCAAAGACTCTCCCTGCAGGACCAGCCTGAGCTCCTCCTTTTATTCCCTGCTTCCCGTGGGCCCTGGGCTATATCCAGCTTGTGGGGCTCCCATTCCATTCTCAACTCTTCTGCAGCTTCCAGTGGCTCCTGGATGTCGAAGAGCCTGAGAACTAGATGGCCACAGCCTCCTTGCAGGCCCAGGGACTGCCTGAGCCAGCTGTGGCTGTCCGGCACCTCAGACTGCACTTCCCCACCTCGGAGCCATGTCCTAGGACTTCACTACAGCCTGACACCCACCTGGAGCAGCATGGAGTAAGCTGAGTCACTTCCCATATCCTGCCTCACCAAGCAGTAGAGCACTGTGCAGGAGCAGACATGGGACCTACAACCCTACAGGAAGGTATTGATGGCTTGTGGGACTCTAGAAAGAGCAGAGGCAGAGGCTTGATCTCTCTTTGCTTAGCTCTCCCATGGTCCCTTATGGAGGACTCCCATACAGAAGATGATCAGGACAGATATGCACATGGTCATGGTGGGCAGAGGTGTGTGGTCCAAGTGTGCAGGGGACTCTGTAGACCTTATGCTCAGGCTCTGATGGAAGACAGCTGGAAACACCTGCCTGGTGTGGGCTGGGATGAGGATGGATCCTACAGTGACCTGGCCTGAGTCTCTACACTGCCATCTCCCATTCCTTATTTGCCAAAACCTCATCTCCTGTAACTCTCTTCTCTTTGTAGACAATGATTCAGGTTTGAGCACTCTAGGAGAAATCAAAAGCTATGTGAGACCCATTCTCTAACACTGGTACCCAAATATTCTTATTCTGGAGGCATTAGCCTTCCCTTGTAACATGAAGCCCACTTCCTTCTTTACTTGCTCATCCTCTTCAGGATGGAAGCAGAAGTATCCATACCTAGAGGAGACCAGGAAGGATGTCACTTGCAAAGTCTTGGTCCCCTACCTCTAAGATATCTAGGGGCAGGAAAACTCTGGATGAAAAACAGAAGTGCAGGGGGCTCTATTTTTGTCAGAATTTTTACCCTGTATATAGTAGGTGCTTCATATATGTTTGTGCAATGTGTGAACCAATACATTCAATCCAGATATGTCCATGGGCACAGAGTTCCTCAGATGTCCTTCCAGTCGTCTCTGCTCTATTGTGGTCCCCTCATATAGATTCCAGAACTTCTTTTACAAATGGGAGATTTGATTTGCATAGCACCTCAGACAATTGGGCTCAAAACAGAGAGCTTCAGCATAATATAGGAGACAGCCACACAGATGGCTCTCAACTCATGACAGCCCACTCCCCAGGACCAGATTGGGGGAAGTATAGCTTGTCTAATATCATAGGGTCCCCACAGTAGCCTTGGAAGAATACTTAAGCTTAGCACATTATGGGACCATCAAGGATGATCTCGGAGGTGGGCACTCAGCTCACAAACAGCAGGTCAAACACCTGTTTGGTGGTGGCAAACTTTCAGTTTGTATACGGAAAGGCAGGAACAAAGAAGGGGTCCCCAGACTGCAAGGCAGGTGACAGAGAGTCCATCAACTTCCCTACCATGTTCCCACTGATATGTGTTCCCATGAAGGGCTCCTCCAGGGTCAGTTTGGACTCAGATTTGCTCTCACAATGAGGAGAGATAGGTATGGACAGTTTAAACAGACTGCAAAGTGATGATTCGCTCACTGCCATTCTGTATTCTCCTCGACAGTCACACTCTCAAATAGGATGAGAGAAATTTAGGGAGCTGGCTGACATAGAAACACAGATGGACATATCTGTCACTCAAAAATACATTGCCAACAGGTGATGGGGACAAATGTACTTCCAGGTTGGAGTCTAACCTGTGGCTTCTGCCTTCAAATAAAGGGCAGTGTCATAAGAGCAACCCCAGCTGTGAGATAGATGCCTGCGTCTCACAGAATGAGGCTCCCTCACTCTAGGGAGGAGAGAACTTCCACTGTGGTCTCAGCAGCAGAGCATAGTCCTGCAGAAGCAGTCTCTACAGACCTCTCAGAAAAGAGAAACAGGGCACATTGGCTGGCTTCTCCTTCTGCCTGTGAAAAACAAATAGAGGCAAAAGCTGGCTGGTCAGAAAAGCAGGTTGACAATGCCAACAATGTACCTGTCATAGAGCGAGGCAGCAAGCAGGCAAGGCCACCAGGGCTGAAAGCGTGCTTGGTAAATCCCTCCAAACTAAACAGACTTCCTGATTTTCCCTGTATCTAAAGATACATACCCATGGACAGTGACTCACCTCCTTAATTTTTCCAGTCTGCCGTCCTGGTATTGTCACTGATGCATGCTGAATGTTATTTTGTTTTGTGGGGTGCTAGGGTCCACTGCAGAGGCCCACACATGCTAAGCAAGTGCTGAACCACTCAGCTGCAACCTCTAACCAGTGGGATGATTAGGAGTGCCATCTTCAGTGTAGAACAACTGTCTGAATTTTCTTACTAGTCATCCATGCCCCCTTCTCCTGGGATTTGGTGTTTTCCCCCTTTTCTTCATACTCATCTCCCCCATCCTTGGAACCCCATCTTTCATATCTACTCAGTGCTTGCCTTTCTCTGTTCTATTGGTTGCTTTTCTGTTGATGTGACAGAACACCCTGGCAGAAAGCCACTTAAGGGAAGGAAGGGCTTACCTGAGTTTACAGGTGACATTCAGTCCTTCATTAAGGGATGTCAGACAGGGAGTCAAGCAGGAACCTGAAGCAGAAACTGTGGAGGTACACTGCTTGGTGACTTGATTGCAGGCTGATGCTTAGCTATCTTTTTATATAGCATTTGTATATAGCTAGGGATAGTGCCAGCCACAGTGGCACAGTTAACATCAATTCACAATTGTCAACACAATTGTCCATGGACATGTCCTTGGTGGAGTTTCATCTAAGCAGTTCTTCAACTGACGGCTGTCTTTTTCAGAAGGCAACGTTGCTGTGAATCTTGTTGGTTTCAGGGACTTAACTAAATCTATTGAAGTGTTTACTTCTTAAACTTAGGGTAGCATGTTTTACCTTCGTTAAGAACAGTTGTTCTCGAACTGACTGTTTTTAATATCTGAGTAGTACTCCATTGTATAAATGTACCACATTTTTTGCATCCAGCAAGATCCTGCTTAGCAACTGCAGATAGACTCAAAGCAGAGTACCATATCTTCTTAAGAATAGCAGGGAGACCATAACTCAAGCAGTGTACCATATCTTCTGAAGAACAGCAGGTAGATCATAAATCAAGGCAGTGTACCGTATAGGCC